AGTGTCTTTTAGAAAAGAAAGTTTTCATGTCTTTGGATTTTGATTTTTAATCATTATGATCACTATATTGCTTGCATAGTCGTAGAAATTGTGAGTATGATATTGACATTTTCTTAGTGTACGGGTGGGAAGATTCTAAATTTAGATACGTGTGTGAATGGGTTTCTTTTTTAATGTATACTAATGGTCAGATGGTCGTCTTATATGTCGAGAAAGAGGAGTGTTTTATCGGTTATTTTCCAAGTATATTCCAAAGAAGGGTCGAAAGAGGATACATAGTGTAGAAAATTTCTAAATCTTATTTTGGTATGTATGCAGTTCCCAGTATGTCGTCAATGTAGCGATAATACAGCATAGGTACTAATCCATTGTATTGATTAAGCATATGATTTTCGATGTATACAGCGAAGAGGCTGGCAACGATGGGGGTTATTTTAGTTCCTATAGCGATCTCGCAGATCTGCTTGTAGTAGTTACCTTTAAAAGTTAAGTCGCTAAGTGTAAGTACAAGTATGTGTGTGTTGGGTCCAGTATGGGTATTTGGTCTAAGAAATTTTAGTTCAATTAAACCCTCATTGTGGGGATAGATGTGTACAATGATTATATATCCATGGTGAAAATGTGATGTTCCTTTCCATTTAAAAGTGTGTTCTTGATCAAAATAATGGCATGAGTAGTGTTCTTTATGTATGTTTGTAAGTTCGTGACAAATGGTGATAAAACTTTGTCAAAGTAAATGAATATTTGTTTATTAGAGCAACTGCATGTGGATACAATGGGTCAGTCCAGATGTTTTTCTTTGTGGATTATAGGGAGAAGATATAAAATAGGAGCTCCAGGTTCATTTCCAATGAGATTCTTGACTGTAGTGGGTAATTACAATTCGTCAGCATCGATCATATCTTCAGTTATGGATGTTACTGGTTGTTGAAGTCAGCAATTGGATTGTCTTGAAGAGGAATGTAGAAAGTATTGTTGACAATTTGTTTCAAAGCTTCAGTTATATATACAAATTCTTCCACCAAAATACGATGGCCCCACTTTTGTCTACTGGATTTATAATAATGTCATCTCTTTGTAGCAAAGCTACATTGGTCTTCATTGATTTCATTTTTACACTTACTAGTGAAGTAATCAAGTGCAATGAATTCACCAAAGGAAGGCATCCATGAAGAATGTTTAAAGAAAATTTAAAGAAGGTATCACAGGGAGGAGTAATTTCAAAAGAATATGTTTCCAAGATTTTGGAAAATGGGTTTTCAGTTTAGGCTGCAAAAAAAAGTTCGATATCTTCCATTGTACAAAAGGTGTCGACATTACTTTCGATATGGACAAACTTAAGGCTTTTATTTAAGATATTCCATTCACTGGGCAAGAATTCCAAATCACTAGGAATTGTTACAACCTGAATGGCTTAATTTTGTTTTAATTATCGGAAGTGGAAATACTAGTTCCTGCACCATACATATATGAGGAAAATACACAACTTTCGAGGTAAGACAACCCTTTATATTCGCTGCTGAATGTATCATTTACTACATAATTTGCCAAAAAATACAATAATTTATACATTAGACAAATAGTCTGACGACTTGGTGATCGAGCACGAGAACATCTAAACCATATTAAACTGATGAATCAAGTTACATCTATAGGCAGATATTTCACAATCAACAACTGTACAGTTGAGGGCATTTCGAGTTGGGACTTATTAGTGCTCCAACAGACATTCAAAAAAGACAACGACTGGGACCCTACAACCGTAGTGTCTTCAGTAAGTATTCGTAATTGTTTAGTATAATATCTTTGATCTTCTTGTTAGTCTAGTGGTATGTTAGCACAAGTGGAAGACGATCGGTGTGTTTTTTTTTTTGTAGGGTTGAGTGTTTGCCTCTGGGTATATGAAGTAGCTTCGGTTGCTGCATCATGGATGAGAGAGTCA